ACTGCTTTCCTTTTAATCAGCACTCAGGAGAGATAAAATGGGACAATTAAGTTTTTTGCCATCGTGATCCCAAGAGGATCAGACTCACATCTCCCACCTCCAAACCAGCCCTGCCACGCAAACCCCCTGGTGTAAACTCCTCACCTGGCATGAACCAGCTCTCCCTCCTGGAGCACGGCTTGGGCACCTGGATGTCCATCCAGACTGGACACAGTGTCCAGCTCTGGGCCAGGAGAAGACTTCCAGCTCCAGCAGAGCACGTCCCACCCTCCCTAAATGTCCCATTCCTACTGGCTGGGCGCAGCAATCCCCAGCTTGGCGCCCTGCCTGCTCTGAGCTGCTCCCAGATGCCACGTGCTTCCCACACGCTCTGGAAACCCAATAAACAAGGAAATCTCACCCAAGGGGACCTGAGCATCAACCATCATCATGCTGAGTGCCAACGTGCCCAAGCTCCTCTATGAATGTGCTTCCATTATTTACAAGTCCCTGTCATTTTGAAAATTGACTCAGGAATCATACAACGGGGATACACTGAGAGATGGAATTGCAGAACAAGCCCTAAGCTTCAAATAGAAAAATTACAGAATTTAAGTGCAAGAGAAAAAGATTAAATCTCTAGGAAAGTCCCCTGGCCTACCCTAAGCAGACCCAGATCTGTGCTAAAATTTGGTAGCCTGGCTCACTTCTTTACTGACCTCCTACTTCAATTTTCCTGTTCAGCTAATTTTTCAAGAAGGGATTTTCCCAGGCAGTTATGAGTGTGAATTCAACATCAATGCAACACGTTTCCCCCAGAGAGGTTTATAATCAATTTTAATTCCGATAGGCTCAAGTAAATGTTTTCAATTTGATTCAATAATCTATACACACTTACAACAAGGCTTTTCCCCCATGTACAACAAGACAAACATGGTTTATGTTTCTAACAACTCTGGCTAATAAAAAAACTTTAATTTCCTATCCTGAACAATACAAACACACAATTTTTATTCTCTTCTTAATGAACCAGATGACATAAACAAATAAAATAACATCAGCATTTAAGAGCATTAGTTATATCATTAATTCTCTAAACATTTATTAAAGAACACAACTTCTAGCAAACTCGCCAAAAAAAGATTGTATCACCAAAAAATGTCCTCAAATTGAGCTTTCTAAATCTCCTGAGAATTTTTCACCATTTCCATTCAGATAGCAACATGAAACCTCTCCAGGATATCTTTTAAAATGTGAGCAAAAAAGATAATTACAATGAAGTTACCAGCAGATATCAGCAAGAGTGGCATGAAGATTAGGGCTGGAGGTGGGGGACGGCAGAAATATAATCTCCTCTAATAACACCTAGTGCACTGTAAGCCTGTAAAATGGAACAAAGTGTAGGAAGGAGGGCTCTGGAGGTCAGGGTGAAACACTGGACCACAAGGGACAAGGAGCTTCTCAGCACAGGGAGGAAAAAGTGACAATCTGGAGAGGAAGGGAGGTGCCTGACTCACTTCTGCTCCCGTAATGGTATTTCCAGGTCAGTTAAAATTCCACACCCCTTGCCAGGAGTGTGACTGGGAAGCACTTCTAGAGCTCACGCCATCAGATCAATATGGGCTGAATGAAAGGAAAAATGTGTACCTGATTTTTCAATAGCCTGCTTTTAAGGTTATCCAGGGTGATAATGTTAACATACAAAATTACAGTCTGATATGATCGTGTAAATATTGAACTTACCCGCAGAACATCAGAGCTCCTCAGCTGTGATTCTGTGCAAACAGCAGCTTCTGAGAGGGTTTTGTATTTAAGTTCTCGACACTGCCTCATAAACCAGCTCAGATGAACACTGCAGAGCTGGCTATGAGCAGAAAGCTCATGGCTGTAGAAACACCATGCCTAAGAGAAGTGTTCCAAAGGGAACTGCTCTGTGTGTGACTACAGAAAGAGTTTTCTGTGTGTTCCCAGCACATCAAAGAAATATTTGGCAAAATCTTTGCACCGGCATTGTCATTTGCCCCATCTGCAGCACAAATCAAACTATTTCCCTGTCACCCAAAAGTCAGCAGTCTATGCAACAGAGCCTAAAAGAAGCTATATGAAATCCTAGAGAAACTTCAACCACACATTCCACCATTCTGGCATGGAGTTAGTTAGACTTTGCATTTGCACTCACTAAATATCATTAAACTCCTCCTGGACTTGTTTCCTAACCTATCCAGGTTATTAAATTTTTAACTACTGACATCATAGTGGCTTTAACTCAAGGTAGGCACTATTACCACAAATGTACAAGTCACTGCTTTCTTTTTGGCCATTGTACCTCAGTAAGAAGAGCTGCTCACATTTATCTGACACTTTATACTGCTTTATATCCACACACCTTACAAATCCTAGGAATTAAGCTTTGTTTTATTTCAACACTCCAAATAAGAAACACCATCTTAGTGGATGTTTACACAGATGAAGAGAACTAAAGATTTAACTGACTCTACACAGAAAATTTAGGCTGAGACCAGGAAAGAACCCAGTCCCATGCTCCATCTCCGCACTAATCCTCATCCCCTTAGAGTCACCCCAGACCTCCAGAGTGGGATACAAATGTGGGACAGACATTCCATGCAGTGCTGCGAGCTGCAGAAGGCAGGAGAACTACCAAAACAATGGATAATACAGCAAAGGAGGTCTGCCCCTGGATGCCCCATCCCTCTGGATGGGGAGGGATGCATGGCTCTTCCAGAAGAACAACAAAACACTGAGCTGAGAAAATAAAAACCACCAGAGCTGAAAAAATAAAAAACACCAGTGTTGAAATTTCTGTTTATACAGCAAAGACTGATTTCTTGGGAATACTCAGTTTCATTGCATAATCAAACTCATTGATTAACAACATAAAAAACTTCATGTTAGCACTTGCTACCTGCCACTGCTCACAGTTAATGAACTTGGGAAAAAAAAGGGAAAAAAAATCCCTGTTTTTCACGTGTCCATCACTCCCACTATACAGAGGAGAGCTCCTTTGTTGGAACACAGGGAAGTGCATACAACTCAATGACAAGTAAATGAGCACACCAAGTTTCTTTTGACTCTGGTTCTGTGGGATTTGAATAGCACACAGTGTGTGCATTGTGCACCTTGTCTGCGTGAAGCATTCACTGCCCCAGCCCTGGGCTGGCTGATGGGATGGATGCACTCACTGCACAGACAGCACCGAGCCACAGTAACCCTGGGGACGTGCCACTGCCATTCCCTGTCCCTTCCAGCTCTCCAGACACTCACATCACTGCCACACAACATATTTTATACTCCCCCCCAGCACTGAAAGTAATTTTCAGAATTTCCATTTGGGTGATAGAATCGGATTTTGGGCAGAGAAGTGCTCAGCTATTGGGATTTATGAAATGTTTTTACAAGTAGAATGCTGAATATTTTATTAGCATAAACATCAAGTTCCTAAAAAGAGTTGTTTGCTGGTTTCAAAAGTTTCAGCCTCCAGCAGAAGAAATAACATAGGAGACACACATCAAAAAGATGTTATCCATACTGCAAAGAAATGACATTTTTTAATTTCCTGTCTGCCCCCAAAAACGGAATGATCATACAACCAAACCACTTTAACTTTATTTGCCTTAAACATCTCAGATCACATTCTCATTTACATCAAAGTTCTCCTTTTCTTGCCTTTCCAGACTGGAGCTTTTTTATCTTAAATGAATCATTTTTGAATTGTGAGTGTAGGCCTAGAGCAGTCATAAGGTTTTTAAACTGTCTTCCTGAACAAACACTTGAAATTTTTTAATTGCTGTGTTTTCTACAAACTCTAGGATAAAGATTTCTGATACAAAAGCCAAAGGGAACACAAGGCCTTAGTAAATGTTTTGGTAGAATTGCTGCAGTAAATGGTATTGCTGCCCAGCAGTTCAAGTTAACTATGAGTAAAATTTACATTATACATTATAAAGTTGCATTATACATGAGTAAAATTGCATTATACATACATAAGCAAAGATGAGATTTTTTTTTTTTTGTCTTAGAAAAATGGAAAAAACCCTCGAAGTAAATGGCTAAATTACACATCCACAGAAAGGAAGAGAATGACAAACTCTACAGCTCACAGGAAAGTTCAAATCTTGCTGTGTTGAGTATTAAAACTATTAAGTATTATTATTTTCTTTTTGTTTTATTTTTTTTTTTATTTGAGTAATTCGTATTAAATCTGTTTTCAATCTCACTTTCATGTGTACATTTAAAAAATAACCAAATATGGCTACACAGAGCAATAACCACTGTGAGAATTCAAGGTCTTGGACTCCAAGTTCCTCAGTACTTAAAACCATAAGCAATAAAAATACTAATAAAAATGCAAGGAGAAAAATCCCTACTAAAAATCTTTAAGCAAGGATAAGCACCAAATTCATATGGTCCCATTTCACACACTTATCACTCCAAAGAACTGCTCTGCAGTCTGAGGCAAAATTGTAAATACAAATATGAACTAATCAACCATCATTTCTCCACAGCTTCTCCTTAATTTTGCATTTTCTTACTCCTCATTTACATTTCCATATACCAGATTAACAGATTAATTAATCTTTCTACAGATTGCCTCTGAGTTGTCTAACTTCACATAGTGTCAGTAAAATTCAAACTCCAGGAACAGAAAGTGCATTTGTGTTCTGGTTAGTTCAAAAGAAAGCAGAAAAAAAGGCATTAGAAGAAAATGTGTTTATCAGCAGAGAAAAAGAAAAGTGATCTTTTGTTGAGTAATTTTAAAAAAAGTACTTCTCTTTGTGAACCATAAATAATATGCAAAGTTTTTCTCATATTTCCAAAGGATATATTTCTTATGTCAGAGAATCAAACCCCATATTTCTCTACCAGACTTCCACTGAGCTTAACAAATCCCACTTTCACTGAGCACACAGATAACAGAAGAGCCACAGACGTGCAGAAGGTGGCTGATGTAGGAGTTGATTAAAGTACAAAACACACAGAAATAAAGAGAAATGAGCCACTACCTTTCTTTTTGGAGTCTTTCTTTGTGCTGGTTTTAACAGCCACTTGAAGTTCTGTCTCAGTTGACATCCTATATCCTTAGTCCTCTTCACACAGATCCAGGATCTCGGTCAGGCTCATTTAGAACGTCTCTCCCAGAAAATAATTTAGCCTTTCAGATACTATAACCCAAACAGTTCATCTCATTCACTCCTTTCGAGTGCTGTTAAGGAAGGAAACAAAAAAGAACAGTCATTTTCTGGGTTTAAAACATGAAAGGAAAATAAAAAAGCCAAACCACTGCAAGGGAGGAACATATTAAGTTCTCCATCTACTGAGCCAATTGTCCATAATTTTAGATGCTTAAGCATAGTTATCTGTGACTACCTCAAACATTTGTATTTGAGGTGTTTTGGCATATCCAAGATGCCTTCACAGCCTAGAGACACTGCTCAGGGTGTAGAGAAGACCAGCACTTCTGGACCAGCAGCTGGAGGACAGAGACCACAATGCAGGAAGTAGCTGGAAATGTCACCAAAAGCAAAAAAATCTGCCAGGACACAATTCTTAAATGCACCAATTCCATATTGCCAGAGAGCAAGTACAGACTTTTACTCCTCTAATTCTCTTTCAGTGCTTTCATTCTCTTGCTTGAACAAAGACAAATGAAAAATGTATTCATTGCTCATGCTGAGAACATCATACTTTGCCACTCCTCTTGTTTATGATAATGTTTCCAGTATAAAAGACTCTGTCTCCACACAAACAAAACTGTAATTTTAACACCCATCTAGTAATCCTTCTTGCAAAGACCTCTGAAAATAGTTAACTAAACCCATGAAATATAAATGGATAGGTGCAAAAAGGTAACATCTAGAGAGATAACATTCAGGGAGAAAGCTGTGTATTTGTTGGGGACAAAAATGCACCAGGTGTGATCCCGCAGCAGGAATGTGCTGGAGTAGGACGAGGGAGGCAGGACTGGGGATGTCAGGAGGCAAAGAACACACAAAGAATAAACATCTAAGCCAAAAAGAACCCATTGCTCCAATTCTCGCTGCTGGTCCTTCCTGCTTTGAGGGATGAACCACTTAGTGAGCCAGTCTGTCGAGGGCAGAGGACCAGACTGTCCTGAAGCCATTTGTCAGGATGTTCCCTCACCAAATGCATCTTCTTACTGCCCTTTCTTTTTGTGAGAAAGTTCTCATTATTAGCACAATTACAGAGAAGTCCATCTGGCCTGTTGGAACAGCTGCCCACTTATTAAATAAGCATTTAATAAAGAGAGTAACTCAGCATATCAGCTGGTTAGATGGCCAGAGATTAACTGCAGTTAGAGTTATTTACTAATGTCCCTTCTTTGTCATGTAAGAAAGTAACAGACTGTAAACACTGGAATAATTTTGACACTTTAAATCACTTTTCACAGTAAGGGCTGTGAAGTCACCAGTACTTTCAAATCCAGGCTCTTTTAACATTTTAAAATGCTTCAGTAACATTACACTGCCATGCACAGTCTGAAGTGATTTAATATTGCTGAAGTGTGTCAGGGGCTTTCTTTAATAAGCTCTTCAAATCTGTCTGTGTATTATAGAATATTCAAAGATAGCTTTTCAAAATCTGCTGAACTGATTTTGAAATACAAAATTCCCTGTTCCCCCCTCTGTGGAATCTGAATAAGCACTGCATGGCAAAAAAAAAGGAGGGAAAAAAATAAAGCAAGGCGCAAATTGAAGTTGCAGCGCTTGCTGAACACACCTGCTTGGTGTAACCTGAATAAACCAACAGCATCTCGATGAATCTTCCCAGCTGAGAAAAGAGTAGGAAAGGACAAAGCAAATGAAGGCTGGTCAGGGAGGGAACAGCTCCCAAAGTGAGGCTTCCAGGGGTTATCTGGCCAGGTCCATGGACAGGGAGATGCCTCTCCCCAAGCACAGCTGCTGGAGCAGTGCTGGGGGGAACGCCCTCACCCTCCTCACTCACGCTTCAAATCCCCCCACGAGCAGGGAGAGGAGCTCTGAGCAGAACAGATGTCCCTCACAACCCCCATCTCCTTCCCCTCCCCCTGCCTGCAACCCAATTTAATAATATTTAGTTTTACAGCACAGTAGGGATGCATCAGCCTTTACAGCTCAATGGCACTTACTTAAAGCATCTCTCGAGTCACAGCTGGATTGACAGTTTATTTTTTCAGAATTTGGATTTATATTTACCCAAAGGTTAACTGCGTAACTCTACAAGGAGCACTAACATGAGCCGCTCCACAAAAGGGAAATATTTATAATAGGTCCACTTATTAAAAAAATAAATTAAAAATAAATACCAAATATCCCTGGGGTCCATAGTTAAGCAAGTTTTAATGTCTTAGAAGGCCATTGTGGCTACAAAGCATCAGGAATGTCATCTCCTGTTGTCAGCTATTTCCAACAGGACAGCTGAAATAGTAGCATCTGAATGGCACTGAATATTTTAAAGTAACAACATATGACTGCTATCTCATCTGAAACTCTCCAGAAAAGCTATATCCCCTCGAGGCTATCCCACTGAGTAATATTTTTTAAAATAAATGCATGTCTGTTTTTGGACAGGTCCACATATTGATTTACTTTCAAACCTAATCAGGTCATACTCTCGCAGGCTCATAGATTCTTGAATAAAGTAGTAGGTATCTTTGTAAAGGAGCACATAAACATCTGTCAGGCACCAGCTATAGTTCAAACTGAATTTGCTACAGAGACAATTCCTCCGAAAGTGCAGGTCTTTATGTAAGCCACATTAGTAAACTTTCATGCACTGTCCATATTTCAGCCGTTTATTACCCAGATGAGAATGGCAGTCAATCTGCTCCTCACCGCAACAGCTTTCATTGTCTCCTCCAATCTAGGTCACCGTTGTTAAATACCACAGCCTCCCAACTGTGGGAAGTACTGCAGCATGTGTTTTATCAATGAGATGCTATTTGCTTTGATCAGTTCTGCCACATTTCTCTCCCTGCTCTAAAGATAAAATTTTGTTAGCTGTGTTTCCAAAAAACCCCCAAAACTTTAAAAAAATCCATCGTCTTACACGTATCCATCCACTCTAACAATCTCCTTGTGTGCCTTGCTACTGCTCCAGCTATTGCAATGTCATGTGCATGCCTCAGCTTTTCTTAAAGAGGATTCTGAGCTCTTCGTTTTAACAAAATACTGACATTTTCTGTGGCCTTATTAAGTGGCTACAGCAGGAACACAATCAGCGCATTCTGGAATTAACTGGCTCTTAATTCCAGGAGAAGTTCTTAAGCCTGCGTTCTCTATTACTCCTACGCCAGCACAAAACCTAAAGCCTTAGCACAGAAATATTTCTGTAAATTCACTTTGCAGTTAGGATTAACACAGGTTGGACCCTTTATGCACAGGGAAATTAGTCCCAAGCTCCACTCGCCTCCCCCACATGCGTGTGAAACAACAATTTCTGTCAAATCATTTGTCTTTTCAACCACGCTTCAGTGAGCTCGTGTAGGGGTTATTAGGAGACTTCCCTTGGCCCAAGTTATGAAGGAGGTCAGACAAGATGATCATAATACTTCCCCTCTGGCTTTCAAATACATGCATTAATTAATTTTCTTCGGGACTTCAAAACTTAAGAAGTTCTCTCCCCTGAAACCAGTTTCCATCTGCTTATATAAAAGAAAAGCAGTCTTAGAAAGGATTTGTAACTAAGCCCTGGCATTCCCTAGGTATTTAAGTTCTCCACAGCCACAAAGTGGGATTTGACAAGAGGATGGTACCTCCCAAACATTGGTTTGACAAAACAAAAGCTGTGCTCCCATCCTTAGCTCCTGCCTCTGGAGTCCTGCAATTAATTTTTTCTCTTCCACAGCACCCAACATAATTATGATGATGCCCATGGTTTCACAAGTGTTAAGCAAAGCCCAAACATATCAAAATGGTAAAATGTAAGTGAAAACAGAAGTGAAAAGCGCTGTGATACTGGAAAACTAGAAGTGTAAGGGTGTGGAATCCAGGGAGAAAATGTTACTCCTCCACTTCCCACCCGCCCTTGAAGCCTAACAGAGAACAGCAGTGGGACCACACACAAACAGACGATGGAAAACCCATCCTTGCCACCAGTGCTCTTTGTACCCTCCAGGGAGAGGGGCCAGGAAATCCTCTGGTGCTGCTCACACTGTTTTGTACTCATCAGCTGATTTCCCCAATGGTCAGGGCTGGTGAACATCAGAGGATTCATCTGTCACAGCAGGCACTGCACTAATTCCAAACGGGAACCCAAGGGACTGATCCAAAACCCACTGATACACTGCAGCTAACAAGGCCTGCAAGTGAGAACCAGAAAAGGAGCAAGCTGAGGTAAAAGAGAGATTAAGACACTGACAGAGAGGAGAAAATGAGGAGGAAACAAAAGCAAACAGGAGAGCTGTCTGTGACACTTCATTACAGCAAACTCTGTAAAGTGTTTAACAGGACTGTGCACTGAAATTCTGGCTGCCCTGCCAGAGAAAACAGCCTCTGTTGGATTGTTCATGGGTCTGTCCCTCTCCTCCAGTTCTGCCATTTGCCCCAGAACAGCAGAATGCACTGCTTCCAGTGACAAAGCCAAGGAGTCTCTTTCATGGCACTCCATGCAGAGCACTGCCTTTTCCTGCCACTTCTTTACTGGTATTTCTGCAGCCTGTAAAGGTGAAAGGAATTTTACCGTTGACAGGCACAAACTGAGACACTACACAAACATTTATTCCCCTACAAACCCTCCCCTGGAACGCAGCGCCCTTCACCTCCCACTCACTCCCTAAATTACATGGCTTTTTAAGACTCACAGCTGCCTCCAGATCTCATACTTAGTTTTGTTTGCTCTAAAATGAGCATATTCCACTCCTCATTTTCTACATATTATGATAAAGGAAGGAGTTTTATGTCCTTTATGCAGTTTTCTGTACTATGTCTGTAGTGTCTTCCAGAACAACACTTGCCAAATAACCCTTTTTAATTCATCCAGTATCAGAAAAGTACCTAGTACTCCAGCCACAGCATTTAATTTCCCTTTGTATTTAATTGCTGTAGTTGACTGTATTCATAAAATACTTCTCT